TTTGGACTTCACAGATGATCTAACTCTTCTATCCCATACACACGAACAAATGCAGATGAAGACAACTAGTATAGCAGCAGCATCTGCATCAGTAGGACTCAACAAACACAAAGGCAAAAGCAACATCTTCAAATACAAAACGATACTAAGTTATGTTACAATTAATAAGACAAAGATAATACCATTATAGTCAGTTCATTTCCTATATATTATTCCGAAATATCTAACAGCAAAGCAGAAATAACATATACTCAAATATCAATTAAATCCTTAGGTGATAATTAAATCATGGATAGACCGTCGCTAGATAACAATCAGAGACCAAGAAAAACTAGACAGCTGTTTCACCCGAATGTGGGACTCCGAAACAGCTCATTCCTATACCAGATACTGAACTCATAGCCTTGGGTCACTGGGGTGGCAACCAGTAGCTCACACGTCAAACTTCAGTCACTTCACAGTTTTGCAAGATTGAGAGTTCCCAGATCAACTCATTGTGTTTACGCATTATTGAGAAGTCCCATACTTGAAGTTTGATACCCTCTGATTTTCAATGGCTGTCCAGTTCAAATTTAATCTTTGGTGTGATTAATAAAAGATTTTTACAGAACTCTCATCCGAATAAATATTTGTTATCAAAACATTGTATTGATCCTTAAATTACAAAAACGTCGAATTTTTTAAAAACATGTTAATACCTAAAGATCAAATAACGTGCCGATCAAAATGATAATGTTTTAACACACAAGCATATGATTAAAATAGAAACAATGTATACAATGATGGATTGAGAGGTAATACATTTTGAACAAATCACATGCTGATAAGCACATGAAATAACAATAATCTACAACGAGCAATCGAATGGAAAGTTAAACCAAAATTATTAAAAACTCTCACGGATATAATGAAACCAATTATTCAGATGAAATAAATAAAGATTTTTGTCCACAGAAAATAGTCTGATAGACTTGAAAAGACCACTGACTATCCATAATCTTGATTAAACAAATACACCCTGTCAATTGACAATAATAAAACTGTTACTATCTGAAAATAGTGAGACTGTAGCAAAGTTCTTGATAGTTTAGGTCTTGTGTTAATGCTCGAAACACTAACCTAATTAGTTAATTAAAATTACTCTCGAATAAAAATTATTGAGCTGAATAGTTAATGACCTTGTATGTAGATTTCTACAATTAAATGTTCTTGAGCTAATGAATTTAAATGGCCACACACGTGCTAAACGGGTATGATGTTTGTATCACTGCCAATAATGGTTTGATACAACCCAAATATCAACAAGTAGATGATAATATAAGCATCATACCCGCTGAACATGTTAGTGCCTATCTGGGATCAGTAGCTAAGCAGATAATGCAATGGGGGTTTGAATATAAAGTTACTGTGTTTTAATCATAATGTGAGCATTAATATCTGCATGTGAGTAAACCTAGCTAATGAATCCCGAGTTGGACGAAATGCGCTATCTGAATTCGACTGCTAGCCACAACACATCTATTCTAAATAACTTTTTGACATAATGGCTATATCAAGACAAATGTAAACACAAGATGGCCAAAAATTCAACGCTGAATATCAAGGAGTCAAACAAGTCAAACTTATAATTTATTAGGTGAGCCCTGGTAGACAGTAACCTCTAATATGAGGTAGAAAACCAGTTACCAAATACTTATGCATTTTATACGTAAGTTCACAATATCGAATGATACCATATAGAAAAGAAAATCTAAAAAACTTTTAGATTTTAAAATTTAAAGTAAAATGTAGATAGATAGATCCCGATTGTCCTTATTCAACTAGTCAACAGAGCTTAGAAAGATCACTTCTAGTACTCTTTTATGACGAAAGAGTGAAATTTGAAATGAAATTTAAAAGAAATGTCCAGGTGATCAGAAACGCTTTGTTTATCAGTTGGTTTATATGTTTTATATAATAATCGACTACAACTCAATATTAACAACGGTCAAAAATATGTAGGGGTTAGTATTTTACGGCTGTCGATATTCAAGATTGCAAGTGATGTCTGTTGGTAGATATGCATCCAGTGGATGTTTCGATAGTATCTTCTGATCATAAATTCCAAGTAGGGCGAAACACACCCTAAATCCCATAGGTAACCACAAATTAAATATACCATAGTATTCAGGTTTGTTGTTTCAAAATTCAGAACTTTTTTCTTTGTAATTTAATGTGCAGATAGCTGAACTCAAGTCATTCTCTCTACCTGTTTTGCTTCAACTATTCAAGTATTAATTCAAGATTCATAATTCACACATGATGAATATTTCTTTGAAGTTGTACAAAATAATAAAAATTAGTCATTTCTTAATTTTAAAACTGGTTAACATCATTTCACTCAAGACTTCCGATTTACTTTACTGACGAGTGCTAACTAGTATTACGTTCAGGGCTTTCTATCGAATATGTAAAACTACTTAAGGTCAAAAGGTGGTACCTACATTTCTTGTTGCGTAATTTATAGATCGTCTGAGGGAAACTTCTTCACAATCTTTCAACTAATTATATATATAAAATAAGGTTCACCGACTGAGGATTTATCAAAATGAATATGGTTTCTAATTCATGAGTATTTACACATTTTATATGTACATCGTCAGAAATTACTATACTCTTCAAAATAAATGAAAACTTCGCGAATGACAAGATACCGGATAGTAAAGAATAATTCAAAGACTACTTGCTTACTTCTGGTCATAATGATTTTTTAAAACCCTTTATCATTTACACACCATTGAATTTACCAACTAAGATTTGGTCACATAAGTGTAAGTTATTATTAACACTGCTATTATTATTACTGTGCCTTCTATATATGATCCACTTGCTCTGATGAGGTTAAATATGGATTGTCAATCTTTTACAGTTGAAGATCCTAAGCAAAAACTTTACCGGCACGTACAAAATGAAACGGTGAGATATTTTTAAAGTGGTTTAGTATTTTGACTAATTGTATTATTTGAACTACACTACGTGGAAGCAATTTCGGGACTAGTACAATCGTTGAGGGTCACTAAGTCTATTTGTCCGTTTACGATTTTATTTGTATTAAGTACCATATAACCATTTTAATAAAACTATTTTTTGTCTAAACGGAATACATTCACAAAAGCATAAATGCTAAAAAGTTGATTCACAGTTCTCTTTTCTTAGAAGAGATAAATTTAAACGCACTACTTAACGAGCTTTAAGTCTTCATGAAAGTAATGGTTATGAAATGATCTATTACTGTAGTAACATAACTCGTCCCGAAAATCATGCTGGATCCAACCTGTTAGGTCCCACTATTCTTCCTTTCTTTACACCAGATTCCCTTTTCGACTTCGAGTCGGAGAACCTATTTCAATTTCCCGATCGCGTTGTTTGGAGATAGCGTAAACGAGTAGTTAGACTGTTCCCTGAAGCAGACAATCCATGGGTTTAATACTCTAGACCGAGTGAATTATGACTATTATTTTATGAAATTCTCAGTAACACTTGGCTTATAAATACGTTTCTCTGATAAGACAATTGTCGCTACCTTTAAGAAACCTCGTGCTTTAATTATTCACAATCACTGAGTAAACTTTGTTCATCCACGACTATGTTGTAGCCACCTTTCATGGTTCGGATGATCCTGCGATATTTTCGAGCATTTGCAAACACAGTAGATGTAACTGAGTTCAGGAGCCAGATTTTCTGAAGATTGGGAAGCCCCTTGTGAAACTCCTTCCCTATCCCATCTGAGCAACTAGAAGCGGTATACACAGGAGCGACGAAGAGACAACAGCATTTCCGAATCCTTGGTGAACACCTAGACGGACAGCGTAATCGCGACAAACCGATCCCGCTACACGATGGGCAAGTTGCACTGGCTTTTCATACTGGTTAGGTTTGGCCAAGCCAAGATACTATACGGGTGTTGTGGAGACATACTTTGCATCGCTAGCGTAAGGTTCCAAACGTAATTAGCGACGCCCGTTGTCCGATTCCATAAAAGTTCCAGACAATGAATGTTCAAATATGTAGTTTGAAACGTAGTTTCTGGAAACCTGAAACAGTGTTTATTGGAATCGAGCTAATCATCGATGGTACGTGTGACAGAATTCGAGAATGGATGAAATTTGGTAGTGGAAATGGAAATATTAAATGAAGACGCGGTTTGATTGAGAACAAGGTAGTCTTGAGTGCTATTAAAGGTATGACGGTGGTCTTCACTTCCCGGCTGACCACATATTATAAAATAATTACCTTTGAGAGACCTAAAGAAGTGGCCCACGGGTCATCTTGGTGACCTAGCAGTATGATAGCGAAGAACAAAACGACAACTGCCTGAGGCCGAACACAAATATACCGTCCTTCCTTACTTTAGATGTTACCTATGCACCTACAAGCCACAACCGCCGGAGACGGAAATCCGTGAATCAATACACGCTAATTTACAGACAAATTATTCGAGAACCCTTCGTCTACTGTGAGAATCGTCATTTCAGAAAATGGTTGTCTAAGGGAAACCACATCAACGAAACAGCTACGGTTGAGATTTATATCACACACTCTTAGATGGAGAAATACTTAAACTTATAGGTTATCGAATATTACAGAAAAAGATACAAACGTTCGTTCCAGATTTTCAAAAGCCTTGTTACGGATTTGAGCAATACTGCAGTGATCTTACTAAATCACAAGTCTACATTTATTATCCAAAACTGTAATTCAACATCAAATAAACTTAGTAAAAAAACAATAACATGAAAGTCAATTAACATCCGGTTCAGAAAGAAAGAAGAGTCGAAAACAAACAAGTGTAGTAGATTCATCAAACATAAAGAACTGTTGATCACCATGTATAATAGCGAGAAACCTCAAACTAATAAAACATTTTTTGGGACTAATCACCCTAATTAATAGTTGAAATGAAATTAATAGGACAGTCAGACGATAAAGTTAAATAATGTTGTTTGGAAGATACCCTCGACTTAGTTATTGGAATCTTCAGGTTTCATAGACCCTGCTCCAGTTGAGCCATCACCATTCTGGCCTGTAGAAGTATGTCTACCTTCTGCAATGTCACCTTGTTGATTTTGGCTGCTTCTCAGTACATTGATGCCTTCTTCACACTGAAAAAAACAAGGAAATGTTTAGTCAGTGTTGCAAACTAATCAATAATATTTGCCGACAAGAACAACCCAACATAACAAACTGACAATCTGTATTCCCCAGCCATGTGAGACACTTGTTTACAGGTGAGTAGTTTAGATCAATTATCTTCTGAGCACTAATTTCATTTTACCTACAAACTAGTGAGAAGCGTTTGTTCAAAAATTACTGTCTGCAAATTTTACTTGTTGAGTTAACGGTTCACACTTTACTGCTGAATTCCGTTTTAGTACCTAAGCATTTTTCCCTCGCATGATAACGGCTTGGAAACCGAATGGATAGTACCCTGTAAACTAAAGCAGTCACATCCCAAACTAATGTAAACGATTAGAAACAATAGGTCAATTGTTTGTTTATTATCATAAAGAAGTTTATTTAAACGGTTTCACAAAAACTGCTAGTTTCACTTCAGTTATATAAAGAGGTGTGAACTGATGCTGAATTAATGTCATAATTTACAACAAATGTGAAATATATTTTCACGTGTGAAAACAGTAAACGACAATACAATTAAAAAGTAAAAGCTGAAATACTTGACCATGAAATATACTAACTATAAAATTAGATACAACAATGCGAGAGCTAAAAGTGATATTAGATGAACGCTGGTAAATAAAATATTTTGGTAATTATTACAGGAATAAAAGAATCTGAATAAGCTCTAAGATCTCAGGTTGAATAGGATAGTCTTTTCCGTACTTTACTATAGTTTGACAACTGCTTTAGACTATTACAAACATTTCTGTATCACCCCATTAGAGCACACGACCATGAAGCTCTAAGGGAAATATAGTAGACCAATCAGGAAAAAAGAATATCCAAACGTTAAGGATCAAGAGCGGTGGGATAGGTGGGTAAGACACTTTGAAGGACTCTTGAATGGATCGGATCTACTGAACCCACCGCGCATCAAAGCAACACACATAGTCAGATATGGTGGTAACTCAAAAGACATCCAACGTTTTCTCGAGAAAGATTTGGGAAGAGGAACAAGTACCAAGAGACTAGAAAGAAGCACCTCGTTAAGATACCAGAGAAAGGAGGTTTTACAAAGTGCGACAACTTTAGACAGCTTACTACTATCGGTCCCAGGTGGAGTATTGCTGGAAAAACGAAGGGTTCAAAAAAAGCTCAACTTTGGAATCAACAAACTGGGTTACGTATGAATCGACGATGTACAAATCAAATGGCGACACTTTGGACCATTCTTGAACAAGCAATCGAGTGGAACTAGTCACTACATATCAACTACCTTGGTTATGAAACGGATCGACAGCGTGGATAGGAGGACCTTAAGGAATCTTCGACATCACAGGAGATCGTCACTAGCATACGGAACTCCTACGAGGGAATGGACAGCAAAGTCGTGAATAGAGAGAAACTCACAAATACATTCCAAGTGAAAACTGATGTCAGACAAGGTTGTCTGCTCTTTTTTATTTCAGCTCTCAACTAGATTATAAAGACCCCCATATCTCAAGAAAAGCACGGAATATCGCGGACAACATGGATGCAACTAAACGAGTTAGATTTCGCAGATGAACCAGCTTCTCTATCCCATACACAGCAACGAATGTAGGTGAAAACAGTCAGCGTAGTAACAGCGGGTCTCAAACACTCAAAAAAGAAGAATCCCGAAGAGTAACACAACTGGCAGCCACCAAGTCATATTTGATATCTAAGCACTGAGAGAGGTGGAAGCCTTTGCGTACCTATCCAGCATCATCAAGAAATGACTTTGTGTAAATGTCATGATACAAACTAAAAAAGCAAGGACGACACCTCTACAACTGAAGGACATCTAGAACTGTCCACTAAAATAAAAGTTGGAGTTTTCAAAACTGACGTTAAAACAACACTGCTTTATAGCTTAAACTTAAAGAATTGCCATCAATATCACTAAAAAGTAGTTATACATATACTGTTTACACAAGATGAACCATTGTTAATAACTCAATCTAGGAGACAACAAACCAGCCGAGGAAATTTAGGAGAAACATTGGAGGTGAGTAGGATACGTTTTATGGAAACCTTCAAGTCGCGTCACATGTCTAGACCTAATTTGAAGTCCCCAACACCAGAGGAAAAGATGCAGAACGAAGAGCACATGGCACTGCGAAGTGAATCAACAAATTGAAATGAATATTAGTTGGCGACGACTAGAAAAGAGCCCAAGGTAGAGGTTAGCGGCCTGAGTCAAAGGAGATTGTAAGTTTGGTTAAAAAACGTATCCGTATCTGTATTTAAGTGCAACCTGTTGCTTGAGAATTAACCATCGCTTGTGCAATAGGTGATAGATCTAGTATACTTTAGTGAGCAGGAGTTCGCTTTGTGGCTACTAGACATGGTCGTCGACGATAGAGGTAATGTACAGGTTTCTTGTACTTCATCATGTCTTAGAAATATTGCTTATGTGTGGTGATATAGCCGGGTAAATAATATTGAACAGACGTTTAGAGACAAGAAATGTCGGCAGAGAAGACAGTTAATTTATTCCTGAATTCAAACTTCTTCGTTTTAAACCAACAACTCAAACTGTTCGTTCAAAAATAAGGGATTCAACTTTATGAAACAATGACTTTCAAGTGATATTCTTTAAAGATTGGGTACTGATATACTTTATTTCTTACCCCATAATCACTATTGAACTTTCACTTTGGTTGATCGTTTTTGTTATGATATTTCTAAGTACGAATTTGATACTTTATGCTATGCTTTCTTCACTTAAATAAATAGATTGAATATGTGAACTAAAGTAATATATCATTTGGGTTTCTGATCAACTTGGAAAACCATTATCACTGTGTATGAATAAACAAAATATCTTACCTTGGCGCGTAGCAAGTCTTCAGATTCTAAAAGATTTATAACCTCTGCGTTATCCACTCCTAAAAGCATTCCCGTAAGCTTGTTGGCTAAGTTGGGATACATTGCCTTGATACGCGGATAAAGATGTTCCCCGAGCGTCCTTTTCTGATCCTCTTCTGACAGTTGAGCCAATGCGCTTATTGTTAGTTGCCCCTGATCGCCAAGGGGTTGTAAGAGTGTAGACATACTTCCAGCTGGGACAAGTGTAGGTTGAGCTGAGACATTGCGAGCTGTTTGATGGAACCTAACATTTGTTGCAGTACTTGTTATGTTCGACATACCAGAATGCATTACGGCTCTTGGAACTTGAGAGGCTACCTGTTGCTTTAAGGAGAATAGAAATGATTTTATTATAACGAAATACGAACAAAATAAACACTAACAACTGTCAACCAACGAATCAATCGATAGCCAAAAATTTTTTGTTCATATGAAGGGACCACTAGACTCAAACCTATTTTTTGACCTTACTATTGCGTTGTGAGCCATACGATATACAAATCATGTTTACTAATACATGTGAATATATTCCTATCGAAGAAACATTCCAAAGACGTACACACTAAAGATTGAACATCTCAACTACGATAGTCCAAAAGACCGGGGAAGAGTATAAACGAATTGTGAAACACAAGCTGAAACGAATAGCACTTTTCCTAACTTTACATACAAAACTAAGTGACTTTTAGAACCCAGCTACACACCTGATCATTCAGAGTAATGAGATAAATTTAAGGCGTCATTCATGGAAAGACTCGACTACACATAACGTTCGATTTGAATAATTCAGAAAAATCATAGATCCGATCCCTAGCTTTATTTTCTTAATAACTTGAGTGCTAACCAATGTTTAGTTACGGAGCCACTCAAGTGGGCTTCGGATCTGTTACACAAATGTATTCGCACATAAACCAAAGGACTAAGAGAAGAGGAAATATTCCAGCACTATGGGGAGACAGTAATAATTCATCATTAGTGAAGGACGACTACGGTAAAGCTATGTATTTTCAAACTACTTTAGCAATGTATATACCGTAGATACCCCGTTACTTCATACAAATCCCACACACGCGCACAATGTGACCATCAAAGAACTCGATGTTTTTGGTCTACTAAATAAGGTTGATATAGGCAAATCCACGGAACACGACTGAATGCATCCTAGGTTACTAAAGGAACCAGCTAACTTTGTTGCGAACCTATTAATTGTATGTTTTAACCTATCTGTAACTCAGAGTCGATTACCGAAAGACTGGAAGGACTCCATAATAAGTCCTGTCTTCAAAACAAGTACGAAACATAAACCTGAAAACTACCAACCCGTTAGCCTAACCAGCGTGGTTGTTAAAATTTCAGAACAAATTTTTCGGAAGCTGTTTACTTATCTCGATGAAAACCCAATTTTCTCGGAAAAGCAGCATGGCTTCAGAGTAGGTTATTTGTGTCTCACTAACTTATTAGTGAGTTATGAAAGCTGGTGCGCTTTTAAAAACCAAAAGTTACGTATAGACGTAGCCAACATTGATTTTAATAAAGCTTTTGACAATGTTCCTCACAAGCGGCTGTTATATATGTTAAGAAATATCGGAGTTGGAGGCAATCTATTGATGTAGATAAAAGACTTCCTTGTTGTGCAGCAACAAAGAGTTCGGGTGAAGTTCAAGTTGTCTGGCTGGGAAACTGTATTTAGCTGAGTGCCTCAGGGTACAGTTTTGGGGCTATTCTCTTGTACGTAAATGATCGTCTCCTATCATCATCGGTCTTGCTATATGCTGACGATGTCAAGATATTGAAAGCGATAAAAAGTAAAGGTGATAGTTTAGAAATTCAGAATGACCTGAAGAAATTATGTGGTGTCAAACTTGGCAGTTGCCGATAAATACTCCAAAGTGCAGTGTGATGCATATTGATCATAGGTACAGATACACACGGTAAATAACAATGATCTACCTGTTGTTCAGACACAATGACTTAATCATCGTAAGCCAAGACTAAGAACTACTACACACTGCCGTTCAACAGCCGACACAGGTTTTAGAACCCTATGGTCAATACATAGCGCCCTTGGACATGTCGATGCAAAAATGTTTTCAACTTTGTATACAGTATTGGTGAGTCCTAAATTTGAATACTGCATACAAGCGGCTAAATAATAATAATAGTGACAATAATAGTAATAATAATAGTATTAATAATGACAATAATAGTAATGATAATTATTTGAATCGACTGATTGTTTTTCGGAGCGAGAAAAGTAGTTGCCATAGACATAGAGTTCATCGTTTGTGTGTGGGCTGTGATACTGCCCGGGTGCCCAAACCGAAGCAGGTGGTTATCTTAGGGGGCCACTCCCCGAGCCTTTGACCTAAAGGTCTAACCCACAAGGCAGTGGAGCATCGTAAGGAGATGCAATCCCATGGTAGCCGGTGACCAAAGGTTGGTTCATACGCCATTCGTTCCCGCAGGATACTGGAGCCCATGTGCACCATTGATTTGGAATCCGGTTAAAGCGCCAGACATTCGCTTTTCATCCTCTCATTTACGTAAACAACACCCCTGCCACGAGAAGGCAATGAGTAGGACTTCCCTGGCAGAGGCTGTATACGCGCGGCCGTGTGAGAGTATTTCGAGAGGGAGAGCGGACTTATCCCACTCTCGGCCGTACCAGGGCATTCGAGGGGGGGGCATGACATGGTGTCGTGGCATGAAAGAAAGTTGCAAAGGACTGGCTTGTGTTGGTCCTTCACGACTCCCTGGTTGGGGTCCGAGAGATGGTGCTACACAGTGGCTAGAGACGTTATCAGATATGGCTCAGAATAGAATCCAGTGGCGATCCTGCTGTAACCTTCTTTTACTTTCTTCATAAAAAGTGGTTCTGTCTCCCTTACCTGAAAGATTTCTTCCGATTGTACTTTTGCGTTCCCTGATTCTAGCACATTACCTTACACCAATCTCTTCGTTATTGTTTTTTCTTTTTTTGTTGCGATCCTTAGCTTTTTTTCTTTCTTTGTATTCCTCTCGAATTTTCATTGTTTTGTGTGGCGCATATATATTGGCGCTCTCTTGTACTAATATTTATGTGTTCAAATAAATACAAGCGGCTAGCCCGTTTGAAAACAGTGAGTTTTTGGAAAACGTTCGGAGCTACAACTAAGCAAAGCTCCCGTATGATGCCCGACTGGCTAAGCTAAACTTATTTCAATTGTCATGTCGAAGAACCAGAGGTGCTTTGATTAGTTTTCGAACTACCTAGTGGTAAATTTGTATATGATATGCTCTCGCTCTTTAGTCTTCCAAAACAGAATTCACGATGACTCTAAAAAGGTCTACAAACGGAGGACAAATTATTTGTCAACTGATTACCAACTTTCCCATCGAATCACGAAGGAATAGGATTCATTACATCAACACGTAATTGAAACTCCACTTGTCAACTCTTGCAAGAGAAAGTTGGGTCAATTGAGTATACCAGCACCGCGACTAATATAGGTCACTCAGCTACCTCTCCTCTCACAACTGAATAACTCGAACACTCTCGAAGCGACAAGTTTCATGGATTAGTAATAAACATAACTGCATAATCCGGGTGACTGGATACCTTTTGGTTCAAAATAGTTGCAAAGGAAAACAACTCTAGTGTCTACGAATAAATAATAAGTAACAAACACAATATGGACTGAACATCCGTCATAGAATGGATGATACGCTAAATATCGTAGTGTTAAGTGATGTGACACGTACAATCATACAAGTATCCGGATTTTGTGAAACAAATGGCACCGCACAGCTAATTAACTGGCTGAATGATAACAAGGCATGACTCATGACAGCCCACAGAAAACCTCGTTGCTAACTAGAGCTCATATTTTAATTGGAACTACAACCAGTATAACTAAGTGCCAAGTTAAAGTCTCACAGACAATAACCACGAAAGTAATTCAATGGAAGCTTAAAAGAGAAACAAACTTACTCGCATGGCAGGATTAGCAGATGGTGGACCCGCAACCACTGAGGCTGCAGTTGGACGTTGACCCAAACCACCAGCCGTAGCCCCGAGAACTTGAGGAACGACCACACCCTGTCTCCCAGATGCTTGTTGTCTCTGTTGATTGGCAGTCTGGTTAAAAACAGCTGCAGTTTGTAAGTGAGTTGAGGGGATAGATGACATGCCGTTGGGTACCATGGGTCTGTTAACACCTGGTGTGCGGAATTGAGCGAAAGAAGCCATTTGGTTAGCTGTAATAGCAGCTGGATTGGGCGCACCAGCATAATAACCAGCAACGGGTGGTCTGTTTGGAAGGCCACCGATTTGTGCAGGTATTCCGGCCGCTCGATTCCAACGAGGCTGTGAACTAAGGACAGCACCCGAAGGGTGATAAAACCGTTGAGCCTGCTGAAATGCAGGGGGAAAGTAGCTATGCGGTGCTGCGTGGCCAGGAACTGCTGGGATCATTGAGGCGACCGGATTCCGGTACTGAGCCAATCGCTGTTGATGTTCTTCAATTAACTTTGCCCGACGATCTTCTTTTCTCTGAGCTAGTGCGACATATAGGGGTTTTGAACCTATGATTGTCCCGTTCATATCAGTTACTGCTCTGGCCGCTTGTTCAGGGTTCGCAAAGCAAACGAATCCAAAACCCTTAGACCGATTATTCGCATCCTTCATGACCTTGGCACTAGTGATAGAACCATGAACACTAAAAGCCTCCTCTAGTCGTTTATCATCAATATTATCATCCAAGTTCTTGACATACAAATTGACGTTCAACATGTAGCTGGACTGACGTTCGGCCCGCTGTTTTTCAAGTCTCTGTTTTAGCTCCTCTTGTCGTTCTTCTTTGCGTTGAGCTCGAGCACAGTACAGAGCTCTTCCCTCTACCTCTTTACCATGCATAGTTTTGACCGCATTTTCGGCGTGGTCGGGGTCTAAAAAACACACAAAACCGAACCCCTTTGATTTTCCTTCGCTATCTTTCATGACGCAAGCACTTTTGATTTCTCCAAACTCAGAAAACATTTCTTTTAGCTTCTCGTTATCTGTTTCCGGTGGGAAGTTTTTGATGTAAAGGTTGTTGAATTTGACTTTTCGAGCTTGAGACTTGCGTTCTGTCTTGGGAATGAATTTGCCAACATAAACAACACGGTCTCGAATGATCATATTGTTAATCTTCTCAATGGCACGTTCGGCACATTCCTCTTTTTCGAAATGTACGAAACCATACCCTTTAGACTGTCCATTTTCATCCATGACAATCTATAGAGAATGTTAAAAAAATAACAGGACCTACTTTGCACGATAAGATCCGACCGAAAAAGCTAAAAGTGTCATACAGTTCCTTCTGTTCGATGGATTTATCCAGGTTTTTGATAAATATATTTCCTTTTCCAGATTTTCTTAAAGATGGGTCTCTCTGTGACCACATAATTCTGATAGGCCTTCCCATTAGTGATTCATAATTTAGGACTTCCAGCGCTTGTTCAGCTGCAAAGTCACATACTGTAACTGGACTTACCATGCTTTGGATCTTCGAAATTAACATATCCATACCCGAGAGAATGACGAGTGGCTAGGTCCCGGCACACACGAGCACTAAGGACTGGACCGATTTCAGAAAATTTTGCTTGCAACGCCGAATCAGAAACTCTTGGGTGTAGATCCCCGACATAAAGAGATGAATTCATCAACCCTTGACTCGCTGCACTAACAGCCATATTTTTGTGGTTTTCTATGTTTTTATACTTTTTTTATGGTTTTATCTATTTTTTTGAAAATTTTCAGCGTGCTGCCCAGCGAGCTGCACACTAACTTAAATTTCCCGCACAGTGATAGGATGTGGCGAAATGTACATAACAATGTGAGACGATGTATTAGGACTTGTTTATTGAATAATCTTGGAGCATAAAAAGTGCGTTACGGTGATATTTGAACATATAAAAAATACGGAAGCAACTTATTCGAATAAAAACCCTGGCATTGTCATATACGGATTGGCAGTTAAACGTATGACATGTAGGATTTAAGGAAACATTGGGGACCATGCATGTTTTTAATCACTCTGCCGTAACAAAAGTGGCGAACCCAGAGTTTCAGTAGTAAGGATAGGGGAACCTGCTAGAATGGCTAACTTCGTTTAATAAACAATTTTACAGGCATTCAATGTTGATACTGACTTTGTTCGTTTTAACTAACACTACTAGATGAAAACACAACGTCAAGCGATGCCACTGGACCACGGTGCAACCGTGAATTTTAATATTTAATTGTGATTTCTTCGCACGTTATTGCAAGCTTCTTAAAATGAGTAATACAGTATGTCCAGTTGGGTTGTTCGAGTTTTCGCTGATTTATGCTAGGAGTTCCTAGTTAGTATATTATTTTGCATATTTCCGAATATCAGAACAAATTGACGTGTTGTATGTTAGACCTAATTCTCTTAATTCCATCTCTACCTGGGGAAAGCGATCATGTGATCATGGCCTGCAAGTGAGCTATAACATCCCACCAACAATTGGCTTGGAAATTTCGAAAGGTTTGGTGTGTCAACATTACAAAACAACATATAGCAGGCGGACTGGATAATTAATCATTAACTTAACTTTGACGCTTGATTGGATTTCTTACTGCACGCGATCTTACGTGCTACGAAACAATCTGTTTCGGAAATGCCCCCCGAAAACTGAAAGTAAAGTACAGTCATAAAGAGTCGCACTCTTTGAATGCTAAGAATCGGAAGGCACTAGTGTGCTGAATACAAACGAACTAGTGACGACAGCACATATAGTCAGTTCAAACAAGCAATGAGCCAATGTGCAGAGGCGATAAAAGTTAGAATTCACTATCAGGTAAAGCTGTGCGATAAGTTTGTCCCCTGTCCGAAGAACATCTTACGTCATGGAGTCTCTCTTCAACAAGACAAGACCAGGGCATACCAGTTACTACGTTCTAATGGCCCAAACGACAACGTTGGTGGTGTCACCAAACATCCTAGAGAACAGCATTTTCAAACATCACAACCGTCACGTATAAACTAAATCGACGAGAGCTTCATCAGCAACTCAAAAGGATGCTCAGAAGCGAATGTAAGCGCTAATTAAGGGTATCAGAAGATTCAGCATCTAAACAAGGACAATTTTTCCAACCCGGATACGAGTAACTATGTTATACTGCGAGGAGCGTCTTGTTTCTTGACAACATTTTTTAGTGTAATGTTCTCAGATTCTCTAAGCCGAGACATGGTCCCAAATAGTTAGGAGTTCGTGCAGAATACACCAATTTTCAAAGTTTGCTGACGCAGGGAACTTCATGAATATATGCCGGTAGCACTTCCCTTGATACCTTCAAAAGTTATGAAGAACTTGATATGAGATGGTGTACAAGACTACCTGTTACCTGTGAGATTCTTGTCACCATAGCGGTACGGTTTCGGGAAGGAACATATCTGTATTTTAATAAAATACTGACCGCGGCACACAGATTTACAACCATCCTTGATCGCAAGACAAAGTCTGATGCCAGATAACATGACTTCTAAAAAGGTTTTGATGGACCTAATTTTGTGCTCGATTTACATGAATGACATACCCAGTTCGTCTGTTTTCACGCTTTGGACCTCTAGGTTCATTCAGTCAAAAATCTTGCAGTATTCTAGTCCAAAAATGGCTGAATGTCTGGTGGTTTACAACCAGTTTATCTGAATAGCAAACTATAAAAATGTAGACAAATTAAGTGCTATCAATTACGGAAACAAATATTTGGATTTTAAGTTAATTTAGTTTTGAGGTTACAAGCTTGCCCGATTTCTAACACTATGAAACGCATCTAGACTGTTCAGGATTTTAAGATCATTTATTTAGGTAATCTGTACCAATGATTTCGGTCTACTTGAGTTAAATGTGAATAGTATGACCTACTAGCTTACGTTGAAGTCACACCTCACGGTCAATATCTAACGCTGATCGGCCTTTCGTGACATCCATGGAAATCGACTTCCTGAGTGGCTGGTTTGAAAAAACACTCTCAATAAACAACAAAATGTATTAGTATTATTGGATTACAAAAGTACAATTAAAAAGCACTCCCTAAATAATTCTGTGCAGTCCCATTTGAGGTTGGAAACCTTAAGTTCTTTTCCATTTGCCGAAACGATCAGTAGCATTCAAGCTGGTCTACGACAACAGCGCAAACAGACAACGTCAACTAAAAGTTTTGCACATGTACAACATAAGGACAAATATCGGAAGCACTACTTATAAAGTGGAAAGTAAGTGGTGGCATATCCACCTATTATTTTCAACTGTGCAGCTAAGCGTTTAACTTAGCGATAAGTAAACGACCATTCTGAAATCACGACTTTCAATGAGAAATGTAACAACATGGAATGCTTATTTGGCATACTTACTATGTAGGCAAATGAAAAGGCGTAAATGGTACAAAACACTTGAACTGTTACCAGCTGTTTTGAACTCATTAACGACTCATCAACATTATATCGGTTAAATAATGACAATTTTTAGCACTGTCAAATTTCATTGTCCGAACTTAGCAATCAAGAAGTATAGCGATTATAAGTTAACTATCAAAATGAACACCGCCGATCAACTTACTTACGCCTGTTACCCCTCATGGAGGAGCATGGGCCGCGCACCAACATTCTTCAAACTCTGTCCTAAGCAATCCTTTCCAGTTTCTGTTCACCCTTTTCATGTTTGCTTTCAATTCCCGACGCCCTGTGTTCTTTTCCGTCCACTTTCCGCTTCCCCTTCATGATGCCGAGCTAGTGCTTGCCTCGTGATGCAGTTTGATGGTTTCTTCAGTATGTGTCCTATCCAATTCCAACGTTTTATCCAAATTTCCTTCTCAACTGGAAGCTGGTTTGTTCTCTCCCACAATAGGCTGTTGCTGATTGTATCCGACCAACAGAATTGAGTATCTTCTGTAGACAGCCGTTCATAAATACTTGTACTTTTTTGATGATGGTTATGGTAGTACCCAATGTTTCAGCTCTGTACGACAGAGATGTCTTGACGTTCATATTGAAGATTCTGACTTTCATGTTGGTTGACAGTTGTTTGGAGTTCCATATGTTTGAAGAGATATGGTCTACTTGGTTATTAGTACTGCTGTAAAAATAGAGCTAATCTTTAAGTTGTAGATTTGTCATGTTGTAACTATCCAGTCTATAAGATCTTGCCTAAAAGTCACATCGTTGTCTACACTGACTCATCGTATCGTAACGATTACCAACATATGGTGGAGGACACATTCAGGTTGGAAATAGAACGATGTATTTAATGCGAGTAAAAGCAAGTTATACGGAGCAACCACGCCTGCGAGGCTGGGCCATGCCACCCAATTGGATTCGATTGAATTCCTCCTACCCGCCTTCTCCACCGTTGTGTTTTTCTCCGAGTTAAATGCTGAATATCTATTTTCGCAGCTGTTTCGTGTTCAGCTTTGAGGATTGTGTGTTTAGGGCCCAGTGCCACTACATGTAATTCGATTGTAAGAACACGGCCCTTGTTTTGTCAACCCTCACCTTTACATCTGCATCAGATCTTTCTTGTTCACCAATGATGTTTTCCAGGTACGTGAAGTATTCCACCTCTTCCAGAGTTTCTCTATCATTTGTGATTAGGGTGGTGTCCTCTGTGTTGTGTTTGAGGATCTTACTTTCTTTATTGTGTATGTTGAGGTCTAATGATGCAAATGCTGATGCTACACCCGTTTTCTTCATCTGCATATATTCTTGTGTATGGGATAGAATAGTTAGATCAATTGTGAAGTCCAAATCATCTAGTTGATCCCAAGTTGTTCAGTGTGTTCCGTCCTTCCCGTCAGATGTTGAGGTCTTCATGATTCAGTCGACCACCAGAAGAAAAAGAAAGTAAGAGTGTAAGCAACCTTGTCTAACTCTGGTCCTCATTTGGAATGTGTCTTCCAGTTGTACTCTATGTACGAATTTGAGGTGTAGTCCAGAGTATGACTCCGGTTGTTGTTGACGATCTTCCCTGGCACACCATATTGTCCAAGAAAGTTCCACAAAGTCCTTCCATCCACACTGTCAAAAATTTTCTCATAGTGAAGGAAGTTGATATATAATGACAAATTCCATTCAACTTGTTGTTCAACGACGATCCGTAGTGTCGCAGTTTGGTCTGTGTACGACCGATCCTTACGGAATCCGGTCTGCTGATCTTGCGATTGGGTGTCTACTGAACCTTTCATCTGGTTCAGCAACATTTTGTGGAAACCTTTCCTGGTACTGATAGTTGTGTGATTCCTCTGCAGTTCTCTCATATTCCTTTTTTTGGTATCTTGATGAAATGTCCTTCTTTCCAGTTCATCGGCACTTGTTCTTGCATCCAAATTTCTCTGAATAGGGTGTAAAGCATACTTGAAGACGCTTCTGTGTCTGACTTCGGTGCTTCGGCTGGTATATTGTCACGTTATACTTTTTTGACAGCAGTTGGAATCCGTATCTTATCCAAAGGTTTCTGGTCTTCAGGCTCATCTCGATCGACAGAGTGATCTGTCGGTTGTGGAGTGACATCATGCTTATTTTTCATGCGCTTTAAAATATTTACTGTGTTGCGAACTGTCTCTAGCTGGTTATTTGTTGTAACTATTATCAACTACATCGCTTCACGTCTTCTAGCACGACGCTGATAGGGCGTTAGGTCTGGAATGACTTTTATATTCTTGTATGAAGTTA